ACTTGGGTTTCATGTCATAAAAACCTATGGAGCTTTTGAAACTACAGATTCCCTAGACCCCCGCACCTGTTTCAGACAGGGAGGCCCAGGCAAACTACACAGCCATGGCTGAGTGCTGCAGGAGCACTGCGCAGCAGTACCAGCAGTACCGAGTGCCGAGGCCATCAAGGAGAAAGCAGACCCGGCAGCACAGGCACTGCGGGGAGCCCTCACACAGATGACCTGCACTGTTCAGTTCTTCACAAGGCCACGTCACACAGGTCCACGGGAAGGCCCCTGTGCAGAGCAGGCCAAAACAGATCCCCTTAAAAACAGAACACAGAAATTCCACTGCTACGACCACCACAACATTCAAAGCAGACCAGGGACGCAACCCTATCAGCTGTCCAGTGGCCTCAAAGTACCATGGAGAGCTACCAGGCGGGGCCAAGACAACAGTACAGCACCAGCCGCCTCTGCCTTTGCCCACAGTTTTCCTGCGTTCTCTTCTCACATCCCCCAAATGTACCCCATTTCCTCTTTCCTCTAATTCCCGGTCAGTGCAGGACTGCTGGGCTAATTCCAGTTTCCTGTGAGGCCGGCTGGAGGCGTGGCTGAAACTTGTGCAGAACTATAAGCTTTTCTGTCTGCACACAGCATCCGGGCAAAACTTAAAATTTTCTTCCAAGTGTGTACAAGCTTTGCAGCCTCTGAGCATCAGCTCCTCAGCCACCACCAGGCCACTCGTGCTGCAGACCAAGGCAGCACAGCTGTCCAGGGTACACAACCTGATCTCAGGACAAACCAGCATCGACTTCTGTCATAAACTCACGAAAAATTTGAAACCTTTGTATTTCACTTTGAGTTTAAGGCAGGGAAAGGGGGTGTGAGAAGCAAGAGAACTGATTCCAAGTATGTGAGTTCCAATGCATAAAAACTCAGTTGCACTCCACCTTCTCCATCAGCAGGACAGGAATAAACCGAAAGAAAATCTCTAAACTTGCACTTGGTCAGGCTAGATCCCTGTTTCCAACTCCGGACAGTTCTGCCCCCCAGGGAACATGGGGTGCTGTCTGCAGACCTCCTGTGTCCACTCTGGGGATGAGAAAGGCACTATCAGCAGCTCATGGGTAAAGCTTGGGGTGCTGAGCAGAAGCCCGCTATGCACAGCCCACCCCACCAAGGATCTGCATCCAGATACCAAGTGATCACGTGAGGAGAGGAGGACAGGGCTCCAGGGGACCCACACCCCACAGGTCCCCGGGGTCCCACATTAATGACACCCCTGTCTCTGCCCCTGCCAAACACAGAAGGCGATGTTCTTGGAACAGAGTCCACTAACGCAGCCTCCATAGACCCCAGTGGGGATCCTGAGAGCCAAGATTGGTACCCACAGCACCCACTAGACAGCTACTGAGCCTACTGACCCATCTGACTGGTGCAGAAACAGAGGCCTCCGTCCCTCAGAGTCCACGGGAGACTCATAGCAGAAGCCCAGAAGACAGAACCTGTGCCCACCACGTTATACCAGGGTCGCACCTGGGGGAGCATCTGCAGCTGTTCTCTCCGCCCCGACAGGTGGCCAGTGTGCAACTGTATTGGCTGTCAAAACCCCTGCAGTGTGGGTGAGGGCGTACGGGGGATGGCATGCAGTGACTAGGTGCAGGGATGCCACCACACTGCTGCATATACTATAATACATGGCCCAGCCCAAAGGGTCAGCGGTGCCTAAGTTAAGAACCCTGTTTTATCCTGTCTGCTGGGCTTCCCTTTGTGTGCCCACAGCCTGCAGAGAATTCACATGATCTCTTAATTCGGACAGCCACAATTCAGGCTTCCCAACAGCTGGAGTACGCCTCACTCACTCTTTCCCACCCTTCGGTACCTTTATTAGAGATCATAGTCTGCCTTCAAACCCGACTGAGGCTCTAGCCTAGAGTAACTCCAGAGAAAGAACGATTACTGAGCTTGGGAGGCGTCCGGGGTGAAATGCTATGCAGAAGGGAGCGTCCCTGAGCTCAGCTGTGAAACACACACACACACACACACACACACACAGCTGGGAGCAACATCCCGAGTGCACTTTAAAAGTCACAGCCTGCAGGACCACCACGGGAAGGCTAGGAGAGCTGCTGGCCCCAGGCAGGAGGCAGCTGCCACAGCCTCAGCACACCCTGTCTCACTGTGCTACTCACGCCAGGGCTTTTCAGCCATGGCTGCATATCTGGGACCTCACCGGTGTGGCGACTGAACACCTGTGGATTTAAGAGCGCCCTAGGTAGCCCTGGTGCCCAGCAAGGGTGCACGGCCACTGCTTCGGACACAGAGATGGGTTTTGCCCAGCTGGGAGGAGCAGCTTAAGAGTCCTAGTCTGAAAAAGCAGAAGCCAAAAGGGTACTTGCCCGAAGTTTAAACAGGAAGATACGGCCAAGGGCTGTCCCTCAAGCTTCAAAATACACAGGCCAGGAAGTTCCACTTTACACAGTGGATGTGAAATGAGACATCCTACCAGACTGCACGTGTCCAAAGCAAAAGTGGAGTCTTCGAGAAACACACAATACCCAAGGCACAGAAACCCACTAAGACTTGATCTGAGGATGAATGTCACAGAACTGTCACAGACGAATGCCAGGTGAGTGTGGTACCTTGAAGTGAAAACCACAGTATTAACGCGAAGCACTGCATTTCTGTCTCACACCCACTTAACTGTGCGACTTACAGGGGACAGCTCATGTGTACTGCATAGCCAATAGCAGTCCCAGGGAACAGCATACTATCTGCACTCAAAGGCCTCTCTCACATCAAGGATTCTCCCCGGTGAGCGCATTCATTCGTCCAAGTGTTCCCTCCTCCGCCACGCATCTCTCAGGTACCTGCTCGGCACCAGGCACTGTTCGAGATGCAGGGAACCCGCCGGCGATCAGGGCAGGTAAACATCCCTATGCATATGGAGCGCCTACCCTGGTGGAGAGACAGGCAAACCCAATCACATCTCGCACGCTGGGTGGTGACAGGGGCTGTGGAATAAAAGTGGGGTGAAGGGGAACGGGAAATGTGGTGGCCAGAGAAGTCCTCAACAATAACGTAATGCCCAAGTGAAAGTCTATAGGTGAAGGAACCAGCCATGAGGTCAAATGTTTCAAGCAAAGGAACCAGCAGAGAGCAAGACGGGCTAAAAGGAGTGCAGAGCCTGTTCCAGGCTCACTGAGAAGCCTGGTACACACAGCCCTGGCGCTGGGAGAGCAGCTCAGGGAGGCCTCGGGGGCCACTGCAGCATCCAGGTTAAGCTGTCAGGTGGGTTAGGGTGAAGGAAGGACACCGCAAGTGACAAGGCAGTGGTGGTGGTGGGAAGTGGCTGCCCTCTGGATGTATGTCTGAGGTACGACCAACGGCCAGGACTTGCTGCAATGTATGAGAGTGGAATGCAAGATGATTTCAAGGTTTGGGGTGACAGGGTTCAAAGGATGGACTTGCCATTTACCGCAGTGGGTGAAAGGCTGTGCAAAGAGCAGGCATGGGTGAGGGGAATTAGACCAGCACGGCTTTCTGGCACAAAACGGTGACACACGTGCCTAGTGGACAGCCCTGTGGGAACATCAGATTTGTTGCTGGACGTGCAGCTCTGCAGCTCAGAAGCGATTACGCAGTCTCACATCCAGTCCCTGTCCCCACCCTCCAAGGCTTCTTTACTTTATAAAGAGTGACGGCCCCTTATAAAAAAGATGGCTCCGACCTGGCCTTGCGACCTGTCCTGCGCAAGCTAACCGCTCTAAGTCAGTTTTCTCACCAAGAGAACAGGGGTAACAGTACCTACCTCAGGGAGCTCTTGTGAGGAGTATTATGGGAGATAACAGTTAAGTCTAGGACTTGGGAACATGGGCGTTTTTTTTTTTTATAGTGAATCTATTTTCTATCCCAGGCTAGCCCTGAATTCACTATACAGACCAGGCTGGCCTCCACTCGCCGTGATCCTCCTGCCTCAGCCTCCCCAGTGCTGAGATTACAGCACTCATCCTGACTCTGCGCAGCACTAACGGGCTCCTCGAGGCTCTCACTTGGAGCATTCATTCATGGGTCTGGCGCCACTCAGAACGGTACAGAAACCTTCCCAAAGCAGGGCGCATCGCTGGGGGTGTGTGGGGGGGTCCTCAGGGCAGGACAGGAAGGCAGACCGCCTGCAGTTGTGCACCCAGAAAAGGAGGCAGCTAAAAATCGGGCCTCGGAAGCCCTCAAGCTCCAGCCAGAGCGGCAGGACTGTGGATGGCAGCAGCCATCAGGGTGTCCCCAGGGGGCTTCGGAAGTGGCACCTTGTCACAAACGCTCAGGTGGAATGTCAGCGGGGATGTCGTGGTCTCTCTCAGGAAGAGCAGCCAAAAACGAGGGGGGAGGGGGAGACGTGCACGAAGCGGCTGGGGCGGCGCGCAGCTCGGTCTTGTGGCCAGGCCTGAAAGAGGGGACCTGGGCACCTGGAGAGGGGGTGCTGGCGGGAACGGGGTGCCAAGATCGGGCGGGGGCGGGGTGAGCGCGGCCCGGCTTCCTCAGTGTTCGGCGTGGAGGCTCCACGCGCCGGGAGGAGGGGACCGCGCAAGCTGAGAGGAACGGGCAGCCAGGCCGGGGAAGGGGGCGCCGGGTCCCCGAGAGCGCGGGAGGGGAGCGAGTGAGGCGCTCTCGCCCCCCCAGACCCCAAGGTCTATTTACATCCGAGGCCGAGGTACCTCCCGCCCCCTTCGCCCGAGTCCAGGCCTGCGAGGCGAGAGGACCTCCGAGTCGCGGCCCAGCGTCCTCCCGGCTCCGGTGGCCCGCGAGTGGCAGAGACGGGTGCTACCGCGGGTGACGGGCCAGGCCGGCGAGTCCAGCCTGAGGGGGCGCAATGGGGGGCGCCTGCAGGCCGCGCCGGGCCGTTAGGGCGCAGCGCACGGGACTCCTGCACTCCTGGGGGCTCATCCCTTGGGCCTTTGGCCTCTGGGCCTCCCGCTGCCCGCTCCCCGCCGTCAGCTGTCCCCCGACGGCGCCTCCCCTACCTTCGTTCGCCAGGTCCGCCATTTTACTTCCTTAAGCCCTCCCACAAGGCCCCGCGCAGGCCCGGGCTCGCTTGCTCGCTGCCAGGACTCTTGCGCGTGCGCATTGAGCAAGCCGACGCTGTGCAAGGCGGACAGTTTGCGTCTGCGTACTGAGCCGCGCGCCGAGCTGAACTCCAGCTCGCGCTCCGGCGCGCGCCTGCGCACTAACCGTCCCCGCCTCCTTTTCCCGCCGGCGGAGAGGGCGTGGCCAGGGCAACCTGCTGGGTGGCAGCGCGCGCAGCTGGTGGCGCGGTCTGGGTCTGTGTTCTGTGTGTGTGGCTTGTCACCTCTCTTCCTGCTTTCTGGGGGTTCCCCGAAACGGGAAAACGAACAGTTTGAGGTGCAGGAGCTGACGCCCTTTTCCAGGTAAATCCCCGGCTTGCGGGGCCTTTCTGCGGACACCAAGTGGCCGCAAGTTACCCCACGGCCCAGTTCGCCAGCCCTACGAGACAGCCGGGGTCCCGAGGTCGCGCGGGCAGGTGACGGCGGGAGGGCGCAGGGTGCTGGCAGAGTAGCAGCGGTCGGAAATCGGCGATCGGCAAAAGGGGACCATCAACTTCGCAAGGCTGCCCAGCCTCTCCAACTGTGAAGCGGACTCGAGGTTCTCCAGGGGCAAAACAACTTGGTACTTTACTTTTGCAACCGAAGTTGGCACTGTGTTAAGATTGCAAATTGTTATTTTAAAAAAAATTGTTTTGGAAGAACTAGACTCATAACCCCACGCTTCATGCCTACTAGGCGGGCACCCTCCCCAACTCCGCCTGCAAAAAGGGACCAACAGCCTCACCAGCGGAAGGTATGGGACTCCTGCGAGTTCTTTTGACTCATGTGCTGCCCATTTCTCGACAATCCTGCAGGTTGGGGCGCTTCCCCAAAATACAGCCCCGTGTCATCCATTCTCAGCGCCCACATCTAGTCAACACTCTGCCACCGAACTGCACACCCCCCCCCGCCTCTTTGAAACATTTTAAAATTTTGAGACAGGGTCTTTCCAAATTGCCCAGGCTGGGTTTGAACTCATGATTGTCCTGCTTCAGCTTCCTGAGTGCTGGGATGACAGGCATGCACCACCACACCTGGGCCCGAGTTCGTTTAACACACATTATTTGAGAAAAATAATAGCAAACGTTTGCCAGTCTCAAATCCAGGACACATGTGTTGACACGGGTGGCCTGTGTCTGTGTGTCTGTCCTGCATCTGCATATTCCTTTTGTGACCCCCTCTCCAGTTGTCCCTGTGTCACTTACCAGTAGTGGGGTGCGGCTGGTGTAGAACCAGCTGCTTCGGGGGAGGTGGGGAAAGTGCAGTGTTGCTACGTACACGTGTGTGGTTTGCTGCACGTTTTGCTGATATTTTTCCATTTCTTTCTCAAATCTAGACAAATAATTGAGCCCGCTTCTCACCACTTGCTGAGTTTCTTGGTGTAAGGACTTCCTCCATGATCCATTTGAAACCATGCCTGTGATACCACAATCCATAGAGTTGGGAAGAGATGTGTCTTGCTCAGCACACCTGATTTTTGGGGGGAGCATATAGTGCTGTCTTAGTGTAGCCACCAGAATCCTCACCCCAAACTAGACCTCAGTCAAAGTCTGCATTTTAACACAGTGCACAGGAACTTCTGGGCATTGTTAGATCTTGAAGCACATAAGAGTTCAAGAGTCTTTTGCATAGAACTGTTTTTTACTCTTGTTCAGGAGTGGTAGATTTAATACCATTAAAATGTCCTCAGCCAGCCAGGTGTGATGGTGCACACCTGTATTTCCAGCACTCAGGGAGGCTGAGGCAGGAGTGTCGCTGCGAGTTCGAGACTAGCCTGGGCTGTCCTGTGAGCTCAAGGCCAGCCTGGACTCTGTAGCGAGACCCTGTCTCAGAAACAAAACAAAATTTTCCGCTACATCGATCCTAAAAAATCGAAAACCACTAAGCCTCCAAGAGGAGATCCTTGTAAGAATAAACATGAACACAAAACGGTGTTGCTAAACCTTGGGTGGTAGCGTGGTCTGCCCGGCTTGTGGGAAGATTAGCAGGTGTTAGCACGGCATTAAGGGCAGATTAGCGCTCCCCAGACAGGGGAGATGACTGGAACCCGTTTGTTCACTGTCATTCGATGCCATGCCAACCTGCGGCCCAAAGTCACATCAGGCACCATGGCCGTCCACTCTGGGGAATCCCAGCTGTTTGTCATCACGTGCTAAATATAACCCGGCTGTGGCTTTTCAAGGTACACGAGAGCTGCTTGTCGAGCTGTCAGCCCAACAGCCGGCGGAGTTTCCGTGACTTTCCCCCATCTGCCCCCACGGTGACGGTGGTGACGGCTGCCAGCGCCTGCCCTGCGGCCCGACTGTCTCCTCTCACAGACTGACACAGTCAACACTGATTTATTCATTCGACAAACCAGGGTTGTTGATTTTCTACGGGGCTGGTTGTAAAATGGGTCCTGAGTTCTTGGCCTTGTTCCTGTTGGAAACTGGGGTCTCTGTTTTCTTCTCTGAAACGTGGATGGCTTGTCACTCAGTGCCGCACAGTGGAAATGTCGCGGTGCGGTGTGCCATGCTAGGTTATAGCAGGGACATGGTGCAGTCCACCTGCTGAAACCCAGGATGGACCCCAGGGCCTGTGTGCTCAGCTCCATCCCTGGCCTCCCCTTTTTTAAAATATTTTGAGACAGGGTTTCAGTAAGTTGCTCAGGTTGGGCTGGAACGTGTGATCCTCCCGCCCCAGCCTCCTGCTAGGATGGCAGGTGTATGCCACTGTGCCTGGCCTGGGTCAGTTCTTAAGGTTCTTGCCACTGTGTTAAGGGCCCTGAGGCTGCTACACTGGAAGAAACTTAAACCTCAAGCAAGTGCCTGGCTGGCTCCAGCTGACTCCGACCCGGCCACCATGGGTTGCCTGAGAACCTGGATTCCGGAGTGTGTTGCCTCCCTCAGCCTTTCCTGTGTGTAAAGTGACATTTGGCTTTGAGGATTTTTGTTATGCAGCAGTGTGTACCCACCATGCCTGCACTCATTGACTCGTTAGGTGCAATCTGACAACAAGCAAAATGATTGGAGAAGGGCCACAAAGAAAGCAAAACAGTGTGACAGAGAGAGGGGAGACTAGATGGGCTGGTCAGGAAGTCCCCTCTGCTGTGATGAAAGTGACATTTTAGTAGGTCTGCCGGAGAAGCATTTTAGGTGTAGCAGCAAGTGCAAAGGTCCTGGGGCAGGGTGTGCTGGAGGCACAGGGAAGAGTTTGGTGGTATGCTGAGCAGAGGGTGAGAGAGAAAAGGCCTCCAGGCCACAGTGACGAGCACAGACTTTGGTCTCATCCCCAGATGGAAGGAGGAAATGAAAAGGGGTTTGAATAATTGGCACAAGCTGCTGTTTGCCTTACATGGTGCCCCTCCAAATCGAGAGTGAACCTTGGACCATGGGGTCCAGCATAGGAAGTGTCATCTGCCCTGTGCTGAGGCTGAGGACCCAGAGAACATTGGAGTACAGTTCTAGTGATCAAAAGGCACAGAGTAGGCAGGCACATTGGCACAGGCCTGACAGCCCAGCTAGCTCCTGGGAGGCTGAGGCAGGAGGATCTCAAGTTGAAGACCAGCCTAAGCAGCTTAGTGAAACCCTGTCTCCAGAGGAGGAATGAAGGAGGCCAGACGTGTGGGTCAGGGTGAAGGCCTGGGTTTCATCTCCAGTGCCACTAATTCTTTTTTTTTTTTTTTTTTTTTTTTTTTTTTTTGAGACAGGGTCCGTGTGCGGTTCAGGCTGGCCTTGAGCTCAGTGTGTAGCCCAGGCTGGTCTTGAACGGGAGGATGCCGCCACACCGGCAAGAAAGTTCTTCTGTGGGGACTGATGTGTCAGTGAGCTTGATTTAATCCCATCCCAGGACACACGTGTGTTGTGACGTGTTACACACCTGAAATGTGTGAAGTTCTGTCACTTGTGTCATAAAGCTGGGGGATTTTTTTTTAAATCACACCCAATAAAGCTAACTTTACAAACATTCTGTGTGCGGCTTGAAGAGCTGCCTGCTGCCCCCAGAGGCCAATCAGCCCAGGGTGGACACCTCACACCGGAAGTCAACCCTGACCCTGAGCGGCCAGCAGTCCTGAGGCTTCCTGGGCACAGAGAGGGCTGCGTCACTGTCGGGCAGCAGGACGCACCCAGGTGTCTGTACTAATGGAGCCTTGCCATGTGTCACCATGGACAGATACCCGGTAGCCATAGTGAGCGCTCTGTCAGGAGCAGGCCTGCCGACGGGCGGGTGCTCGGTGTGTGACCCAACTTTCCAGAATCCTCAGCCTCCAGTTTAGAGCCAATTGGGAAGGAAGGGGCTGAGTACCTGCTGGGCACGTGGCTTGGAGGCTATGGGAGAAATACTCTTCTTCTGTAGGAGGCTGAGGCAGGTCAATTGCAAGTTGGAGCTCAGCCAGGGCAATGTAGTGTCTTAAGGAGACCCTGTCTCAATAAACAAATGAAAGTCTGCAGGTTTAGTTCTGTGCTAAGGCTCTGAGTTCAACCCAGAAAGATTCCTTGTTTTTCCTTCTACCACATGAGGACAGTAAGAAGGAACTGTTTTTGGAGTCAAAAAGAGGGCCCCGGAGCCAGATGCGGTGGCTATGCATCTGTAGTCCCAGTTTACTTGGGAGGCTGAGGCAGGAGGATCTCAGGTTTGAGGTCACCCTGTATAACAGATCCTATCTGATCCGGCCTAGCTGGAGTCACAGTCAGTCTGTACCTCACTGTCAACCTCGATCACTGGGTTAAATAGGTAACTCCTGTCCCCTCTGTGACGTTAGGTGTCCGGTGGGGGGTGCTTTGAGGTTACAGACGGGGGGTTCGCTGTGATGCCTGCAGTCTTTCCTGTCGCCAACAGAAATGAAGCAAACATCCTTCCCCGGCAAAAAAAGCAAAAGGCTGTGTCACATGGTGACCACTGGGGGGCGGCAGAGGACAAGGATGAATTCTAAACCCCACCCCACCCCACCCGAGGGCCGCTTTAAATGGAAGGGGATCCCCGGGTCCCACAGGGGCCGTGCGGAGTCCTTGTCCCCGTCAGATCCAGTGGTCACCAGCTGCCAGGTGCGCCCCATCTCTGGACAGTGCCATCCATCACTGGATGCCCCTAGGCTTGGGCTGCACCCAGGTGGGGGAACCAGCTGGGTTTCTAGGCTGCCCATGAGCTCAAAGGGGAAGGAAAACGGGGTGCCGCCCCAGGGTCAGGCAGGAGGGAGCCACAGAGACTCAGGCACCCCCCGTGGAGGCCAAGGCAGGAGGATCTCAAGTTTGACCGCAGCCTGGGCAACTCAGCATCTTACTGAGACCCTCTCAAAACAGAATCAGAAGGGCTCGGAGTGGCTGGGTTCTAACCCAGGTACTCGGGTTAAAACAAACCCTTCAGCTGCGGCTGGGGAGTCAGGCTGCCCCACACAGCAGCAGGACAGCACCTTAGGGGACCTCCCCCAAATTCAGTGGATTCCTCCAGCAAGTTATCTTCCAGCAGGTGAACCTGTGTCCAGCCGCTGCTGTGAGAGGTCCCTTGGGATGCAGACACATGCAGACACCCGTGTCTCCTTCATTGGCCACATGGGACTCGGCAGTGTCTGGGGACACAGGTGACTGTCACACGGGACGCTGTTGGCATGGACACTGTCCAGTACCCTGCAGTGCCTGGGACACCCCACAGAGCACTCCCCAGGGTCCCTGGCATGCAGGGCAGCAGCCCCTTGGTTTCCATGGGTACCCCACATTCTCCCGCAGCCAGCCAGCCCTGCGTCACCTCTGTCCTTGAGGACAGCTGGCATCGGGCTCACCTGGAGGTGCTGACAGGACAGAGGGCCCTGGCAGCCCTGCTGCCCTGGGATCCCCGGGGCTTCCCTGACTGGGCTCAGGGGCCTCAGCCGGGAGCAGCTCAGAGCGGGCAGGGCCTGAGGCTGGGACCCTGTTGTGGTGACCCATCTGTCACCCAGTGCCCAGCTGGATCTGGCAAAAAGCACACAGGGAGGCCCTGGGGCTCCGCCAGGCCTGGCCACACAGCTCGTTTTGTTGAAAACTTAAGAACTTTGAGGTGAGCCCAGCCTGTGGGACCCGGGAGACCCTGGCTCCAAAGGGAAAATTCAAGTGGCCTGGGAGAGGGCCCCGGGTTCCGCCCCAGCACTGCAGGACAGGAGCAAAATCTAAACCCTCACAGAATTTCAGGATGGAGCCGCCAAGCTGCGAAGGAAGCACGGGGCCTGGAGACCCCAATCCGGGGAACCCAGCCCCATTTTAGTGTCACCTATAAACTCAGGGACCCTGGGCCAGGCCAAGGCTGGTGTCTGGGGGTGCAGGCCCCTGAGCTGGCATCTGAGTGGTCTCTATCCAGGGCCCTCCTGACCATGGACCCATTCCGTCCCCAGAAAGTGGCCCCTCACCTACACAGGCCCTGAAGATGGGGCACTTAGGCTGACCCTCGAGGAACTCTGGAGGAACCATCAGCTTGGCTGGGCTCGGGCACCTGGTGGTCCTGCTGCACCTGGGTGGTCAGCACCGTGCAGGCACTGGCCTGGCTGACACTGCCCCTGGCCGAGCACAGCCCCCACGGCCTCGGGGCTCCTGGCTAAGGGAGCTTGGCAGCGGATGCTGCAAGGCCCAAGCTCAGAGCCTCGATCCCCGCACGGGCAGGCGGTGCGGGACACAGCCATGGTGCCCAGAGCAGGGCATGGCTGCACCCCCTGGGGCACTGTGTGGGGGTCGGGGCTGAATGAACACCCCCCCCCCCAAATGAGCATGTTCCCTGTGCTACAAAAAACCAGGAATGGAGCTGGGTGCAGTGGCGCACGCCTGTCATCCCAGCACTCTGGCAGGCGGAGGCAGGAGGATCACAAATTTGACTTACAGCCTGGCAACCTCAGTGACTTATCAAGAAACCCTGTCTTGAAATAAATAAAAAATAAGAGTGGGGTTGGGGATGTAGCTCAGTGCAGAGGCCCTGGGTCCCAGCTCCAGTACCAGAGATGAGGAAACGGCGTGGTGGCACAGGCACGTCATCGGCGCCCTTGCAAGTCTGCAGCAGGAGGACGGCTGCGAGTCTGAGGCCGGCCTGGGCCGGGTGGCGAGATCTGGGCTCCAAACAACAATGGGAAACGGGAGGGAGGAGGCAAAGAGCAACAGCGAGACCGGTGTGTGTGAGACACGTTCATAGTAAAGAAACCTCCTAAGAACAAACAGCACGAACTACGGGCATGAACATCTCCCGGCGGGAAGCTCGGCCTGCCTTCCGGGCGCTTCCCTTGTGACCTCTGCACGTGGGGCTCGGGCCGGAGCCCGGTCTGTCCCCAGTCTCCGCTCTGAAGGGCGATCCAGGGCCGCTCACAAAGTGGGGGCCGCTTGGAAGCCTCCAGGTGGGGTCGCGGGAGAAAGGGGAGCGGCTGCCACAGCCCGGGGACGCGCGGTGACCCTGGGTCGCTGCTCCCGGAGCGAGCCGCAGGCAGGCGTGAGCTCCAGAGGGCAGGAGCTCTTGCTCAGGACAGACCCTGAGGCCGGCTGGCCAGCAAGGCCGCAAGGCACACGGTGGGAGGAGGTCCTCTGCCCACAAGCCCTAGGGACTCTGTTCCCAGGGGAGCCTGGGGGCGGGCTCTGTGCCCCCAACAGTGCAGGGCCCGGCGGGGACGGCTGGCGCTGGGTTTGTCATCTGTGGTGAAAACTGACAGGGGAGAAGCAGCCTGTGGCGGGGACCAGCGCTTCGCACAGCTCTCCGGCTCTCACGGGGACGCGGTACAAAGCTCGGGCTGCCACGGGGGCGCCCCGAAACAAGGGGCAGGGTCCTCGCGGCGGCGGTGGCAGCATGTGGAACCGTGTTTCTCATCAGTGCCCGGCGCGCCCCCAGAGTAAACGTCAAGGCGTCTAAGAGGCACAGTGCGGTGGGGCCAGGGAGTCCAGGTTCCCAGAGCGACCTGGTGACGCCTTCTGGGACCTCGCGTGCGGAGGGCGCCCGGTGCCAGGTGCTAGACGCCCCCGTGCAGCTGGGGGCCCGAGTCGCTGCGCTCCCGTTTCACCAGGGGCTCGCCCAGGCTGTGGGGGTCCTCGGCACTGCGCTCCGCGCCCAGATCGTCTGCGTGGGGGTGGGGACAGAGTCCGTCAGAGAGGTCCCCGTGAAACCCACCCCGCCACCCACCGTGCCCTTGGTGGCCTGTGTCATGTTCCCAGGGACACAGACGTGGCTGCGGGAGGCCTCAGGCCTTGGCCAGCTGTTACTCCCTTCCCAGCCACCACCCGCTGTCTGCATGGCAGCTCCCTGGGGTCCCCACACCACCCAGGGGCTGCTGCAATTTCCACTGGCTTTGGTGACCTGGAGCCCAGGGACCTGGGGAAGCCAAGCTGTGCATACCTTTGTCGATCAGCGTCAGTGACAGGGAGGTGAGGTCATTGAACTGCAAGAGAAGCCCAGAGTCAGGGCCTCGAGGGCCGACAGGGACTCAAGCCTCAGCTAAACCCACTTCTGGTTCTGTGTGGACTCGGCTTCTGCCAGGACAAGTGGCCTGACCTTTCCCCAGCCCCTGGGGGCTGCAGGTCGGGCTGGGAAAGGCACTGGGCTTCCAGGTGGCAGCCTGGGGACCGTGGGCCAGCCGGCCGTGGTCCTGGGCCCTGTGCCCAGCTGTGGGCAAGATCCAAACACCCTCCCCCGGCCTCCCGGTGGCCTCGGGCTGTGATTTCCATGTACTGAGAGCAGCCCAGGGCAGAGGTGCAGGGCCGTGATCCCAGCACCCCAGGCGGCTGAGGCAGGAGGAGCCTAAGTTCCAGCCTAAGTTGATCAAGTTAACGAGGCAGCACGGTCCGCTGACATGCTGGGACGTCACTCAGCCAGGCCAGGACTGGGGCTGTGACACCTGCCGGGGCATGCGCGGACGGAGGCCGCCAGGGGCAGGACACAGCATGGGCCCACGGACAGAAAACAACACCCGGGACAGGCGACTCCAGACAAGAAGCGCCCTGTGGGGCACGCTTGGCAGGGGGCGTGGGAGGCGACTTCCCACCACAGGGGCTCTTCACGGGGCGGACTGTCCCGGGACTGGGCCGCTGGGCGCCGCCTCACCTCCCCCATGACGGCGATGGGCGTCTCCCCAGTGGCCTCAGCCACTCGGTGCTCCACCAGGTAGAACATGTACTCGTCGTAGAGCAGGCGGATGAGGTGGAAGGAGCCGAAGCTGGCCGCACTGCGCAGGGTCAGGTCCCGGATCACCATGGAGCTGGGCAGGCGACAGGGGCGATGCTCGAGGGACAGAGCGTGGGCCTGGGCCTGGCTGTGCTGACCCGGGCTGGGGACCCCAGAACCCAAGCAGCCTTAGACCTACAGCCTGTGGGAAGCTCTGCCAGCAGGAGTCCCCCTCCGGAGGGTACGTGGAGAGGGTGCAACCTGACACAGGAGGGGATGGGACGGGCAGGACATGGTATTTGGAGAAGTCTGGGGTGAACTGGTTCTGATAGCTGCCTGGAGAAAAGATGTTCCAGGCACCGCAAGAGCAAGTGCAAAGGCCCTGAGGCACCGAGACCAGGGAGGACAGGAGGAGAGAGCTGAGGAGGAGAGCTTGGCAGCCAGCAGAGGGCTCAGGACAGACCCTCTTCTTTGTGGGGCTGGGGATGGAACCCAGGGTCTAGCTCATGCTAGGTGAGCCCCTGCCACGGAGCCGCACGGGGTTCCGCCGGCTGGCTTTGATGATAGCTAGACAGGGAACACTACTGGCCTTCAGGACACCATCACACTTCTCTGTTAGCAGCTGGGGGCTGAGGGCCAGGCCCGCCCAGGCAGGGCTCACCTGTAAAAGGACCACTTGAGCAGGAACTGCCGCGCGGCCTTGGGGAAGCTGGGGCTGCCCGCGTGCTGCTTGAGCACCTGGCTGACCACGCTGTCCAGCCAGCGGGCCCACTGCTCCAGCGAGCTCTGCTGCTGCAGCGTCACCTTGAAGTCTTGCTCCAGCCGCTGCACCATGCCCTCCTCACACTGGCACACCCACGAGGCCTGCTCCTGGGGGGAGGGCAGACGGGCGCTGACTCCTCGGTTCCGCAGCGGAACCCAGTGTCCCGCACAGGCTAGACAAGCACCCACAAGTGAGCAGCGCGCGGCCTCTTCACTTTGAGACTGCATCTCAGGAAGCTGCCTGGGCTGGTGTGTGTGTGAGCACGTCCAGCTGTTTTTGTTGGATTTTTTGGTGCTGGGATGGGGCCTAGGGCCTCACATAGCTACAAACACACTGTCGCACAGAGCAGACCCTTCCTGACCTTGGCCTCTGATAACTGTGTCTAAGAACGCATAGGAAGCCTTTCCAGACCAAAGCTCATGGCTGGTCTGCTCCAACGCGCTCTCTTCTCCCTGTATTAATCTTACTGTTCACCAGGCTGCAGATGGAACCGGGTGGGGCCCTGCACATGCTCGCCACTCACCTACACTTCTGGGTCTTTATTTTACTTGGAAATGGGATTACCACTATGTCTCTAAATTGCCCAGGCTGCAGTCAAACTTTCGATCCTCTTGACTCAGCCTCCCAGAGGGCTGGGCGAACAGATGTGCACCACCCTGAAAGGCTTGTATTCATTTTTCAAATGACTGGGCACAGGGGCAAATGAGGTAAAAGCCAGCTCAGGGCTTGTGCCCCGGGCCACCTGCCACGTTGTTCCTGCACTGTGCTAAACCTGAGGGCCCCCCAGAGCTCTGCGGTCAGCTCTGGGTCCTGCTTTGCATCGGCGGAGTCACCTGCACGTTGGCGAAGTCCACGCGGTTGAGGTCGCTGAGCATCTGGCTGATCTGGGACGCGTTCTGCAGCACCGCGCGCGCTGCCTGCGCCAAGTGATTGAGCGACGTGTAGCGCCGCAGAGTCTGCGCAAAAGCGCTGACCACGCCCACCTGCGGCCGGGGGGGCGTGGTCAGACGAGTGGGCGGGGTCCCACCACTGTAATGGCCCAAGGTGAGGTCGGCCGGCCGGAAGCCACTTGGGGCCGCCAGCGCCATCCCTCACACCCAGAGTCCCAAAAGGGACTCCTCGCCTTCTGCAAGCCCTCTGGCTATGCAAAACAGATTCCAGGGCGCAGCCGGAGCACGCTTGGGGCCGCATCCTGAGAATCTGAATTTGCCACACCAGCCTAGGTGACTCTAGTGCACTGGTCTGCAGGCCAACAGGTCAGTTCCCGGGTGTGCATGGTAATGCATGCTGCCGGATCCGGGCCCTGGCCACACCGACAGTTTTCGGGTTTGTTTGGGGTTTTTTTGGTGCAGAGTTAAGGGTGGAACCCAAGGCCTCCTGCGTGCTGAACTAGTCCGCACCAGCCCTTTTTCACTTTTATTTTGAGATTGAGCCTGCTTAGTTGCCCAGGCTAGGCTGGAACTCAAGACCTTCCTGCCTCAGCCTCCTGAGTAGGTGGGATTACAGGTGTTCCACCACAGCGCCCAAAATGGCCATCAAAAGCCACTTAAGATACGTTGGAAAGAATGCCAGGGGCTGGTTTTCACAGGCCAGCCCACTCTGGGTTTCAAGTTCTGATCTGTGGCCCACAAATGGGGCGGAAGCAAGGAGAATGAGCGGCCCTTGGGTGATGGCTGAGTAAACAGTCTGCCCCCAGGAGTGCTCTCCAGTGACGCCTTCTGCCATTTCCCTGCTGCCAGCTGTCGCCCTTGTGACACAGGGCACTGTGGTCCTCGTGTCCCCCTTCCTCCCGGCCACGCCAGGCCCTGTCCCTGTGCAGCATGCGGGGCCCTCGGGTGTGGGCCACGGCCCCGCTTGTCACCTTGGTCTGGACGACCTGCTGCGGGAAGTCGCTCATGGCGTTGGTCAGCCAGCCTTCCAAGCTCTTGGCGAAGTTGCGGATGGCCTGCGTCAGGGTGCCTGGGGACACAGCATGAGGCCAGCGGTGAGGGGTGACAGGCACAGTGCAGGGAGGGGACACAGCAGCCTGAGGGCAAGGGGGACTCGGCACAGGTGGCCTCTGGCCTCTGCCCTTGGTTCTAGCAGTTCTCAGAGCTACTTTTTGATGGAAAAGAAGCAGCATAATGAAACTTGGGGATTTAGCTCAGCAGCATAAACGCCTGCCTTGCAAGCATGCAGTTGTGAGTTCGACCCCTGGTACCACAAAAATAAAATAAAATAAAACAGGTCGTAAACGCAGACCTCTCTGCTGGGCTGACAGCCACACTGACCAGTGTCCAGGCAGCTGAGGCCACAAGAGACAGTGAATGGCCCTGGGGCTCCGGGAAGAACAGACCGGTGTGGTCGGCACTAAGGGTTGAACCAGGGCCTCTGCCTGAGCTGCATGCCAGCTCTTTGTATTTTGAGACAGAGCTCACTGGGTTGCTCAGTTGACCCTCCTTCCTGCCTCAGCCTCCCAGAGTGCAGGGATGACAGGTGTCTGCACCATGTCTGGCTGGAGCAGATCATTCAGACAGCCTGAGCCTCAGGTTCCTCCTGAGACCTGTGTGCAGCTTCCTGTCCTCCCTCAGGATGGTGGGGTGTGGCCTGGGCTGGGGCATAGCCCTGGGGAGCTCCAGAGGCCAGCCAGGCACAGGGCGCCTGTCACTGACTTCACCCCCCACATGCCATGGAGATGTCAGGGCACAGGAGCCCACGGTGCACATCTTGGCAGGGGTTAAGCCACAGCCATTCCCCTGCCACACAGGAAGGGCCCCCCCAGCACCTGAGGGGCTCCTGGGGACAGCGGCGCTGGTGCATCCTTGGGATAAGGGTGGCTGCTTGGGCAGAGCTCCCGGGCTCACGCGTGCTGCCCGTCACCCTGGGTCAGCGGTGAGGCGAAAGGAAGCCCCGCAGGTGATGCTGGTGGAGGAGACGGGCAAGGGCGGCAAGGGCAGGGCGAGGGGTCACTCACTGGGCACCGGGCGCAGCACGTCCGGGATGAGGATCTCCACAAGCGCCTGGTACAGGATGTGGTCGCAGCTCCGCATCCACTTGAGGATGGGCGCGCACTTGCAGAGCGAGATGAGCTTGTCCTGAGGGAGCGTGGCCTGCGCCTCGGGCTCCTCCTCACTGCGGGCCAGGCCGGGCTGGTGAGGCGGGGACTGGGGCCCGGCCGCCCTCCCTTCTCGTCCCAGCCCAGGGCAGCTGATGGGGGAGTCGGGGGTCCCCCTATGTGGGCACCATGGCTGTCACCTGGCGGGGAGGGAGTCAGGGCCGTCGCCGGAGGTGGCTTTGGAGTTCCAGAAGGACAGCCACAGCTGCTCGATGTAGTGGAACTGGAGGTTCGTGACTACATCCAGGGTGGCCTGGGGGGAAGCGACAGGGTCCATAGAGGCTACAGGGGTCGTGCCCTGGCCAGGAGCCATGACCCGGGATGCGGCGGGGGTTGGGGTGACAGGAGAGACGGGAGGCCCTGGGAACAGAGCAGCTGCCGCCCAGAGGGGACCCTGCAGTGGGCACGGGGCTCCGTCACCTCTGCCCCCCAGGCCACCCAGGGCCGGCGCGGTCACCTGGCAGTGCCGTCGGTACGCTAGCTGCAGGGCCTTGACGTCGCGCAGCGTGATGCTCTCCTGCAGCAGCCCGCTGCCCAGCTCGGGCACCGGAAACTCTGGGAACACATGGGACACATCTGGGGAGGACACGGCTGTCAGACGTGGGGATCGTAAGAACAGAAAGATGGGGTGGGGTGACACTCCTAGACCCACAGCCCCGCTCCGCCCTGGCTCCACCCGCAGGCCAGTGACCTTTGCAATTCTCGGCTTTTCTCAGAGCCACTTGGTTACCTCCCAGGGCTGCGACAGGAGCTACACACACGCCTGGGGACACAGCGAGGGCTCTGGACCTCGACTCCTATCACCACCACCGGGGTGTCACAGCTTGACAGCACCCCGGCATCATCTCAGTCTCCCTCGAAAACCCACCCCCAGAACACAAGGGTTCTGTCCAGACTCAGAGAACACGGGCTGAGACGGGTGTGGCGGTGCGGGCCTGAAATCCCGCACCCTGGGAGGCTGAGGCAGGAGGCGGCAGGTTCCAGCCCAGCCTGGGCAACTCAAGGAGACCTTTTCTCAAAATACAAAATTAAAAAAAGGGCTGGGGACGTGGCTCAGTGTGAAGGTCCTGTACTGCAAACCAAACCAAACCCCCTCAGTGCAACTGTGGAAACCGGCAAGCGTGTCTCCCCGATAACAGCGCTGATGTCAGCCTTTCCCGAGCTGTGCCCAGGGGCAGATTCTAAGCTTAGACCCCAGCCTGCAGGTCCCCAAGCAAGACTGAGAGGCTGGTGCCACCTGGAGGACCCTAATTGTGCCAGGTCCTGCGGGACTGCTGGACAATGTGCCAGGACACAATGGATCATCGTCTATTCTTTCTGACGGTCTATACTCATCTTTTAATTTTTGTTGAACCCAGGCCCTTTGCACTGAGCTGCATCCCTAGCTTTTTTTAAAAAAAATTTGCGGCAGGGTCTCGCTGAGTTGCCCAGGTTGGCCTCCAACTTGTGACGCTCCTGCCTCAGCCTTCCACGGTGAGGGTGACAGTGTGCACCCTGCTCAGCTATGTACTTATGTTTCTGACGGTCACTTTATACATCACATTTCAGAGGTGCACGCCGATTGCTCTAAAATCTCAGGGACTGTGATTCAGCTAGATCTCTGTGCGCACGGCGGGAAGCGGTGGCCTGAGGGGACCGTCCCGGCAGGCGCTACCCCTCACCGATGTACTGCTGGTGGTGCTGGCTCTGCGTGGCCATGGCCTGCTCGGGCGTGCTGTGAAGGCTGCTGTGGGAGCTGCTGTCCCCAAGGCTGTCCGTCTTCTGGGCTGGCCGGTACCTGGGCAGGGGACACAGGTGCCACTGTGAGGCTCCTTTTTTAGGAGTGTGGCCAAGTCAGTAAGACAAAACGTACCATCGAAACCATTCGTAAGCACCCAGCTCGGCAACAGGAAGCGCAGGCACTGCCCGGCTGTGCAGCCGCCCACACCCCAGAACCTTCTCAGGTCCCCTCATCAGCCCTGTCCCCAGGAGGTGCCGGCTGCCGTCGCCTCCCCACCCGGCCCCACCGCCCTCTTCCTGTCTCTGTTCTCGGCCCGGGCCCTCCGGGAGCCTGACCCAGCAATGTGTCCCCTTGTGAGCAGCACGACCTCCAGGCCTATCCGAGCTATGACAGCATCGGGTTGCCTCTCTTTTCACGGCTGTGTAACAGTCCAGTGTGTGCATGGACCCCGCCGTGCAGGGGGGACCCCACCATGCACCCTCATCTGTGGGTGTCCACCTGCTGTGTCCCTAAGTACCGTTTCCCGACTGTATCTCCTAGACAGCCAGGAGACTCTCCATGCACAACTGGATGTCTCCCTACAGCGTGTTCCAAGGAGATTCTTTTGTTTTTGTGCCAAACAGCAGGGCAGGAGTTGCCTGGCATGGGCACGCCTGTCCCTGCACAGAGGTGGGGCTGCGTCTCCCGGGAGGAAGGGGAGGCGCTGGGTGAGCCACGCTGTGGCTTCCCGGTGCCGTGGCCCAGGCCCATCCTTGTGACAGACACGTGCCTCTCCTGAAATGACACGCCGCCTGGTGACAGTCTCTGTGTGGACAGGGTGGGAGAGGGCAGCGGCCTCCTCTCAGCCCTGGAGGTCCCCTTCACCTGCAGTGGGGTGTCCAGGCTTTCCTGAGTGGCCGTCTGAGCCACCCGGAGGAGAATGGCACAGTCGCTGCCCTCAGGGTGTCACACTGGGAGGGACCAGCTGTGCTCCTTGGCCCGTGGTGGGGGCACTAGAAGCTGCCAGGAGGAGCCTTTGGGGGACCCTTAGCCAAGCAGCTGTAAACTCCGATGGCCCAGGGGCCGGCGCTGCCGGTTGTTTTTATCAATCAAACTTTCCTGGCACGTGGCCACGCTCACTTAGCAGCGATCACCTGCGGCTGCTTCTGTGGCACAACCCCAGCACCGCAGCGCGGAGGGATCTGCTCTCTGGCTCTTTGGAGAAGGTCCAAAGGTCTCCCAGAGAATATTCCAGAAAGCAACCAGCCTCTTGTGGCTACTGGATGCAGAGGTCAGAGAAGGGATCGACCTTGGCACGACGCTGTGGCATGAAAGCTATGCGACTTCAGCTCCGTGGCCCGCGGGAAAGGCGACAGGAGAGCGCAGAGGCTGCCAGGGGCACACAGGGCACAGCTGGGGGTGGAACCCACATCACACATGCCCGGCCCCGAGACTTTAATGTGTTACTGATGATCCAGCCTCCGTGGTTCGGCGTCTCTGAGACAAGGTCTCTGTGGAGCTCAGGCTGGGCTTGAACTCACAGCCTGCGCCTGCTTCAGCCTGGCTGCTGCTGGGATGCCAGGCTTTTTTTTTTGAAATGCCCAATGTGAGAATCCTGCCAGTGGCCAGGCCTGCATGCAGGCTGGCACGTCCCGGCGCTGGGGGCAGCTGTGTGAGTGTGTCCCCAGGTCAGGAGCCAAGGGGGCCCACCACCCCCTCGGGCTCGGGGACAGCATCCTGGCAGCTTGCTGTCACCCACCTGGGCTTCTGGTGCAGGGGCTGCTGCCGCATGGCCATGTACTGAGTGTCCTCCTGCAGCCGGTTCAGCGGGGAGTCCGGCTTCAGACGGATGCCATAGTAGTGGTACTTGGAGTTTCCCCTGCGAAGCACACGCAGGCGGAGTGATAAGACAGGCCCTCCCGTCCCCCTCGGACCTTGCTTTCGGCCAGTGTGGTCTGGGGTCTCCCGAGCAGTGCAGGAAACGTTCATGGGGAAATTCCGCCCGCAAGAGCTTCTCATAGAGAGGCCCTTTGGTTTGTTTATTCTGAGCGCTGGGGATGGAGCCCAGGCCCTTTGCACGGAGCCCCAGCCCCAACCCAGCCCCTTTTATTTTGAGACAGTCTCACTAAGTCTCCACATTGCCCAGGCTGGGCTTGGACTAGGGATCCTCCTGCCTCAGCCTCCAGAGTGCTGGGATGACAGGTGCGCGCCAGCACCCCGGCTGCGGGGCTGTTTGGTTTCAGTGTAACTGGGCTCTGACAGCCCTGCTCCTCCTGGTGGGAAGAGCGGTGTCGGGACTGATATCAGCAGCTCTCCCCGTGGCGGCCCTTTGGTGCATGATAACGAGGCCTCCCCGAAGGGCAGCGTGTCGTGCCGGGGTGCTGTCCCAGACACTGCAGCAGCAGGTGACCGGAGGCCTTGGGGTTACTTCCTGAAGGAGAAGCCCCAGGGCTCTGCTAACTGGCCGACTGCCCAGGTCACCAGGCCACGTCTGTGGGCTCAGGCTCATAGTAAGGACAACTGAGAGGCCTCTGGACCTTTCTTGAATCTAGAACAGGCACATGCTTAGCTGAGGAGAAAAGCATAGGAACATGGGAAGAAAACCAGAGAAATAAGCCCGAGTCCCAGGGCGGACGCACGGACCCCCCAGGTGTAGCCTCACAGGCAGCAGGCTGGGATCTCAGGACTCAGGTTCCAGGTCCTTTTTCCCCAGGCCCTGCCCTCCCTTTTTTTGGTGGTAGATACTGTTTACTGAACCTCAGGGCCTTTGCACTGAGCCGCATCCCTGGCCCTTTTATATTTTTTTGAGACAGGACTTTGGAGTCTTCCTGCCTCAGCCTCCCAGAGCCCTGGGCTCGTAGTTTTGCACCACCACACCTAGGCCTGGCCTCCTCTGACCTCTAGTTTTGTAATGACTAGCTCTGGAAAGGGCTGGCAGGTGTCAGGGACCAAAGGACTCTGCTCCTTCAGTCCCCAGCCATGTCCACAGGCAGCCCACTCCTGCGGGTGCACAGAGCGCCCGGACGCCCCTTCTGGCATGGCCACGGCGTGGTGGCCACTGCAGCGCTCTGGCCACCTGCTCCCTCTCAGTGCTTTCCAAGTTGGGGGTGCACTGGAATGGCGGGGTGCGTGTGACACATGGTGCTTCCCATGCTACAGAACAGGGAGAGGCAGGAAGAAATGGTGACCCCAGGCAGGTGTGATGGCACGGGGGAGGGGGAGGGGAGGAGAGGGAATGGGGGCGGGGCGGTGCCACCCACCTGGTGCCCAGGCGCCGCGTGCGCAGCCCCATGAACACGGAGCGGATGAGCTTCCCGAAGGAGGCGGCGTTCACCGGGTCCAGTTTGTGCTCCTGGCAGTGCCGCAGGTAGTGGTTGTACAGGGAGCTCCTGGGCAGGCTCACGCCCTCGGCCGTCTCGTAGTTGTCCAGCAGCCACTGGAGCTGGGCGGGAGAGGCGCGGGCAGCGGTCAGAGCCCGGGCTCCGGCCCAGCTCTGAGTACCGCCCGGGGAGGCCGCCCAGCCCGCTGCTGCCGGCTTTTTGGACGCGCGTGTCTGTCCTTCCCACGCACACCGGCCTGGCTCTGGGGTCTCCCCACGCATTTGATAAAAACCCGCGCGGGATGGAGACCTTCTGGGCTCCAAGCTCGTGACCGATGGGTCTCCAGAGCCCAAAGGACGGAGCCACGAGTGCCAGGCAGATGCAGGCAGAGCCCTGCACTGTGTGATGCGGAGGCGGCCAGTGCCCCAGACCCAGCTGCTGACGCGCAGTGGGGACCCAGGTCGGACCTGACTCTACAGTGAGCGTCCCAAGAACGTCCGCGGCATGCCCAGTGCCCCAAGGGCCTCAGTGCCCACTGGGCAGGGCACCCCAGAAGCTCTGTCTCCACCCAGAGCAGTCAGACGCACAGCAGCTGGCACGCCCCACTGTGCTGGACTCTGACACAACCCTCGTGCCCATGTCCTGCATCCCACAGGACCAAAGTGGGCATCTCTCCTATAGAGAGCTCCGCCCGCTATAGAGTCTGCACAGCGCCTGCCAAGATGGTGCTGAGCACCCAGAGAACATGCATCCCAGGAAGGAGTCTTGAGCGCAGGGTGACAGGAGGGCTGGAGGGGGCCCTGCAGTTTAAAATCAAGTCAGGAAGGCTCACTGAGAGGACACAATGAGCAAGCATGCCAACAAGTCATGGGGCAGAGGACACAGCCCATGCCAAGGCCCTGGGGCACCACGGAGCCTGGTGAGGTGCAGGAGCCATGAGGAGCCCATGTGGCTGAAACAGAACGGGCAGGAGCAGACAGGAGGGGACAATGGACAGGCAGATGGAGCAGGGCCCTGCCAGCTGCACAGAGGACGTGGGCTTGGGCCCCAAGGAGATGGGAGCCTTGGAGGGCTGAGGACAGAAGAGCACTGTGACCTGCGTTAAGTGTCAAGACGATCCCCGGTAGAGTGTGAGCAGGGACTGGATGCTGGGCAGGGCTGGCCGGGAGGTGGCCAAGTTGACCCCAGGCCTTTCCTAAAGGTGGGTGTGCGAGCAGGCTGTGGCCTTGGAGGCCAGCGTTGCCCTTGACCAAGACAGGACAATGGAGGCACACAGGCTGAGATGTTAGCTCAACTCCCTGCTGGCAGGGGACCTGGACCTGAGGGATCCCCGGAGGTGATCCATGGCTGTGCCCCCACGAGGGTTCTGGAAGGCACTGTCCTCCAGCACAGCCATCTCAGCCGCGGGGACCCTGGGGACAGCTGTCAGCAGCACACACAGCCCACCCTTCACCTCACCCCCGGCTCTAGGGTGGCCAGAGCAGGTCCAGGGTGATTTTACAGACGCATGTGTGGTGCACTGTGTCACCGAGCCCTAGAGCCTGGGTCACAGCTCCTGACGGAAGAGAACAGGTCCCTGTGGAGAAGGTGGCTCGGGGAGATGTCACCTGCTGGAAAAGTCACGTCGGAACAAGACCATGTCGGGGAGCAGCCCTGGGCCTCTTCCCTGCGGAACTCCCTGGAGCCCGAGTGTGCCCGCAGCCTCGACAGCCGGCCGCATGCTTTGTCTGTCTCTGCGCCCGTCTGCCCCGTCACCATCCGCCCTCCTCCGCCCGGGGCCCCAGCTGCCTGCCAGCTGGGACGTTTGCTGCCTGAGTTGGTCTCCAGCAGAAACGGCCTGAGCGCGGGGGGATGTCTCGCTGCAGACCCTACACAGGGTGCCCTGAGCTGAGGACACCGCGTTGCTCCAGACTCGGTCCAGAGCAGGAATGCTCGCTGTCCCCTCTGCCAGGAGCAAGCGGCCACCAGTCAGCATCTTGTTTTATGTTTATGTTTGCTTGGTGGCCCAGGTGGAGGACACATCCCTGCTGGCCTGGCCCCATAACCCAGGTTTTGGGACCTTTCCTGAAGTCAACTTCTACAGCAGTGTTGGGTGGGAAAGTCTTGGGGTCCCGGTTAGGGCGGGGTTAGGCAGAAAGGGGGTCCTTCTCCCGTAATACCAGAAGCCCGGTTTCACGATGGCAAGACATCTCCAGTGCTGCGCACGGCCGCATCGGGCGCCCAGGGAAGGGCGAGGGATGCGGGGGAGGTGACCAGGCCTTCCTCCTCCACTGGGCAGGTCCCTCTTCCTGGCGCGGCCGAGGTTGAGGCCAAGGCCACCTCCCAAGCAGGACCTGAGGTCGCTGTGCCCTCCCGAGAGCCAGCAAAGGAGGGAGCCGCACACACCTAAAGCCAGCATGATTGGCTTGTTTTCTGCTGCTCTCAAAAAATCGTGTCTTTCAAAAAGTTGACCCTCCAGGTCTGCATGACATTCCTGATGTGAGGTCGCTTTTTCTTTTTTGTTGTTTATTTTAACGATACTGGATTTTTTTTTTTTTTTTAGTACTGGGAATCGAACTCAGGACCTCATGTTTGCCAGGTAGGCGCCGTGCCACTGTGCTAAATCCCCGGCCGCACCTGTGCCAATCCATGTCTGTGAGTATTAAATCTTGTGTTTTTGTGGTACTAGGGATTGAACCCAGGTCCTTCCCACTGAGTTACTTTGTCCTTATTTCATTGGTGTATCTGCCTATCTGGTTTTGAGCTGGGGTCTCGCCGAGTGCTAAATTCCTCAGGCTGGGCTGGAACTGTGACCCTCCCGCCTCGGCCTCCCACAGTGCTGCCCTGGCCGGGCAGGCCAGCCCCGCAGTCGCCACCTGGCGCCCAGGACGAGCCCTGCCCCGAGCCGGGGTCTGGCTGCAGCCTGCTTGGCACCTCGGATCCTCCTGCCTCCCGGGAGCCACCGCGCCCGCTGCTTTTGCTTTTAAAATGTGCATCGCGGCTCCGAGCAGGGCGGGGTCAGCACGGGTCAGACGTGCACTTACATGGCTGTTGAGTAAACCGCTTTTGTGCGGGGTGATTCCTTCACTTTTTTGGAGGTTTTCGATCGCCATTTGAAGCTAAAGAAAATGTGCGCAGAACAAAACAGCAAAGTGGAAGGAGGAAAAGAAAAGAGAAGGAAATCAGATGGTTAGCAACAGCCGGGATGCAGGCTTTTATTAATATCCAAATAATGATTCGAGCGCTTATAAAAGAAAGAGGTGAGGCTCAGGCGGGGCCGGGGCGCGGCGGCGAGCGCGGGCGCAGCGGCAGCCACGGTGAGGTCGCCGGGTGGACGCGCATCGCTGACTGCGCCTGCGCTGACCTGCGAGCCACTAGCGCGGGGCAGCCTCGCGGTCCCCTCCGAGCGGCCTCTGCGGCCCCGGGGAGATCGAGGGTCAAAGCCAGGCCACCGGGCGGCACTGATGTCCCGGCCTGCCGTGCCTTAGAGCCCAGGTCTCCCTGCTGCAGGCGACCGGAGGGCAGGAGGAGGCCCCAGGCGCAGGACGCGAGCGGCACAGGGGTGCAGGGGACGCGAGCCAGGCGCGAGACGGTGGCCGGGCCTCCGGGGAAGGGCAGGTGGCCGGCAGGGCTATGCGCAGGAGGAGGAGGCCGGCGGTGTGCACAGCTGGATGTCGCCAGGCCTCGGCCCTGGGAAGTACGCGCGGTCCCCAGAGCTCAGATGGAGACCCCAGCAGGCTCCTTCCTGGCCTCTGGGTCACCGCGCTCACAGGGACAGGCACAGCCTGGGACAAGGAAGGCCCAGAGCTCCAGGACCTCCAGGCACCCTGACCACAGCCTGAGGCCAGCCGGGTGGCTGTCGCCTGGTCGCCCTCAGCTCTGGGTGCCCAAGGCAGATCCCCACCTGGGGTGCCCTGGGAGCTGCTCAGCACTTCCAGGAAGAAGAAAATAGGGCCTCAGCACTGTGGCCTTTACACTGTCACAGGGCGTGAAGGCCCTGCCCACAAACAGTGCTTGCTGTGCTAGTTAAATCTACCCAGGCCTCCCAGACACACAGAAACTGTGGTGGGCCAATGAAACAGTGTTACATTAATGTATCTAAAGCAGCCATAAACCCAGTATAGAACATAAATTAACATTTTTAAAATGAAGGTGAGGCTGGGCATAGGGGCACAGGGATATTATCCCAGGAGGCTGAGGCAGGAGGATCAATACGCCTTCCAGGCCAACCTGAACTGCAAAGTGAGACCCTGTCTCAAAAACCAAAATACACCAGCTAAAAATTGGTTGTTTCGTACTTCCTGTCAGCGGCCTGTGGGGTGTGGAAACCCTGGCATCAAACCCTAACCATGGGGGAGGTGGGGCAGGCCTGGCTTTCCCAGAAGCGGCGGGTTAGGGGCAAAACCCAGCAGAATCCTGGCTCCTGAGCGCCAAGTCAGGAGAAGCTTGCGCAAGCAGATGCAGCCTTAGTATTAGCCGTGATGAACAGGTGAACCTGGCTCACAGGGGCTCCTCAGCCCATAGCTGACCACTACATAGAGGTTCAGGAGCCACCGCGACAGGAATGATATTATAGAGCTGTCTGAACGGTCACCAAGTGGTCGGCAGCATCAGAATAAACCCTAGGGAGAGCGAGGGCTCGGCAGGCAGGGCTGTTACACCCTAACCCTGAAGATGTCCACAAAACATGAGGTATGCAAACAGGGGACAGACGGACACAGAGAAATCAGTAGGGCCGTCTGTGAGGAAGACCAGATTTCCATCCATGACACAGAATTCAAATCAACCATTTAAAGAGATTCGGAGAGGAAAGGAATTATGTGCAAAGAGGTGAAAGAAACAGTGAGCATTCTGCTCACCACACAGCGAAGACCAGTAAAGAGGAGCCAAGCAGGACGTGGCCGCAGCCTGGGACCCGGCACTCGGGAGGCTGAGGCAGGAGGCTCGCGGCGAGTTCAGGGCCACCCTGGCTACACAGTGAGTTTATGGCCAGCCTGAGCTCCACAGTAAGATCTTGTCACAAACAAACAAACAAACCCACTAAAATGGAACAAATTAAAATTCTAGAATTGAAAGTATGTCTGAAAGTATAATGGCTGAAAACTTTGCAAATTTGATGAAAGACATGAACCCACACGTTGAAAAACCTCCACGAAGTGCGTGTCATCCAAGTGCTGAAGGGCAGTCGGCCCCGCAGACGAGGGCCCGAGCCCTGCTCCTCCTCACCAGCGCCCGGAGGCCAACATGGCTGAAGGGCAAATTTTATGTTATATGAATTTTACCTCAATAAAAATATGTGCGTCCTGTAGCTGGAACAAAGCGTCCCTGATGGGCCCGATTTTATAACATCGCCTGGAAAATACTGGGCCCCCGGGTCTGCAGATGTTCCAGCTGTTGACGCGGCTTGTTTAACCCGTAACTATCAGGCCACCCTCAGGGGGACAGCTGTCCTCTCTGGACACCATCCGGTTCCCGCAACACGCACAAGTCCTCTAAAACCCTCATGTTTTTGGCTTGAAAACTGACGCTGGCCACTGGTCATTTCTCATATCGTGTCCGGCTTGCTCCGTCCGTACTTAGAAATGCTTGGTCAAGGACCCTCAGGCAGAATCGCCAGAACTGTGATATGCTCCCAGGCAAAAATGACTTCCTGTGAAACGGGTGGCTTCTGTCTGCAACTCAGACAACCACGCGGGGGCCTTCCCTGGAGAGGGTCACTGTGTCAGCGAGGGGCAGCGGCCTCTGAGGCCTGTCCACGCTGTGGAATCCTGAGGAGACGAGTACCCAAGGAGCTTGTGTTTTTGAGACAGGTCTTGCTCTGCAGTGCAGGCTGCCTCAAGCTCATCGTATAGGCCAGGCACAGACCCTCCTGCCTCAGCCTCCCGAGTGCTGGGATTACAGGAGTGCACCCCCATGCCTGGCCCGTTCCTGTCTCCTTTTGTGGCAATCCTGGGGATTGAGATCAGGGCCTTCATACTGAACCACATCCCCAGGCCGTTATTTCTTAATTTATTTATTTATTTTTTTTTGTCTTTTTCCTTTTTATCGGTACCGGGGATCGAACTCACAACCGCCTGCTTGCAAGGCAGGTGCTTATGCCGCTGAGCTAAATCCCCAGCCCCTGTTTCTTAATTTCTAAAATAACGTCTTGCTCAACTGCCTAGGCTTAGTTCAAACTGCAACTGTCCTGCCTCCGCCTCCTAGAGCCCTGGATTACAGGAATTCTCACCGTGCCTCGGCTAAGGACATTTTTAAGTGAAGCCAGCTCTATCTTCTTTCAACCAATACCAAACTTGTGGCATTTACATAGCATGAGTGAGGCAGGATGATTTTTTCTGTAGACAAATGACATGACCTACAGCTCATACAGAGACTTGAGATTTATATAAATGACCAACAGAATTCTGAGCCGGGAACACTGGGCTGACTCCCTGGATCCGACCTGAAGGCTTTCTACAGAGCGCAGTGATTAGGACGGGGCGATGGGCCGGGAGCTCGGCCGCACAGCACCTGCCCAGCAAGTGCGAGGTCCTGAGTTCGATTCATGGCACCAATAGAAAAAAGCCGGGGAGCTTCCAGCAGAACAACTGGCACCCGGATCCCCGGGGCAGAGCAAGGGCGCCGAAACACAGCCACACGCGTGTGGAACACTGGACATTTCATCCGTTAAAAACCATTCACACACAGCCTGCACAAAGGCAGCTCTGAACACAAAATGTACAACTATAACAGCTTTCAAAGACCAGGGTGGAAATGCTGGTGACCAGCAGCCAGGCAAACCCTTCCCAGGCTTGAGGCCCCTCCCCGAGAGCTCGAGCCGGGGGAGGAGCGGGGCACAGACTGAAGATGTGTGAGGGACTCGAATCATCACAACGCACCACCGAGCACGCAACCGACCCAGTTAAAAAAATAACCAAATCACCTGGACCAACGTCACTCAAACCCAGCCACAAGAAGGCAAAAGCAAAAGCCTGTCACAGCCTGTCACAGCCTGTCACAGCCTGTGAAGAAAACGCCAGGGACACCCACAATCAATGACACAACGCCCCTGCTGGACAAAATAAAAAACAATGACACCACCTGGGGACAGTAAAGCATCGGGAAGCTTCCTCACTGCTGACAGGGACGGAAAACCTGAACAACCCAGGCCGATGTGTGGGAGAGGCTGGTCATTCCAGCGCTCGGGAGGCTGAGGCAGGAGGATCACCAGGAGCTCCGTGTCAGCCTGAACTACATAGCAAGAGCGTGTCTCAACAACAAAGAAAAGAAAGGAAGAAAGACAGACAGACATAACCATTTGAGAAAATAGGTTCTAGTGAAGTCAAACATACGGGGACCTTGCAGCTAGCAATTGCACGTGGGCTGCTGGCCAGCTGAGAGGGAAACACAGGTCCACACAAAACTCTGTCCCTGGAGACTCAGGACTGCCTTCTCATCACGGGCCAAGCTCGAACCTTTCTGATGCCCCTTGGCTGGGCAACGGCTACATAAATTATATCACCCAGAGTTACTCAGTGATTCCCCCCAAACAGCTGTCACAACTTGATGGAACCTCAGAGGACCCACGCCGAGCAGAGGAAGCCAACCTCAAGAGGGTACCCGCTCTCACTCCTTGTACCCGAGACACCCCAAAGTTTCAAACCATAGCGACGGAGGCTAGATCTGTGGTGGCCGGGACCCTGGAGGGGTGGGGAGGCTATGGCCACTCAGAAAGACCATGTCGGTGCTTTTAGGATGGTACCCACTGGGTCCTGACTGTGGGGACAGCGACACAAATCTATGCAAGTCCCTTCTCATAGCCCTGTACACCCAAGAAGTCAATTTCACTCTGCGTTAATTTTTTAAAATACAACCACATAAAAGTGAATGTGGAACCTGTCATCCCAGCACTCGGGAGGCTGAGGCAGGAGGGTCGTTGCGAGTTGGGAGACCAGCCTGGGCTACAAAGTGAGCTCAAGGCCAGCCTGAACCACATGGTGAGACCCTGACTCAAAAGAAAAAGTGATCGTGGAAACTCTCGTGTTGAAAGTACAGTTGGGTTTAAAGCAGGTCAGTAATGATCTCGCAAGAGGGCGCAGAGCTAAGCATTTGGTGTGTTCTGGAGGGACTTGACCTCTGTTTGGGTCAATCCCGAGTTCTCTGGATGGGCAGATGGACCTGCCTCCAGAAGGCAGATGGTAACAGTGACCATGGTGATGGCGGAGACCTGACACGGTCCCCATGCGGTGCCTTGCTCTGCTCCCCAGCAGCACCCGGGGGATCACGGAGCCCCACACGCCTACCCGTGGTCCCAGCCCCGGCAGCCCCAGTCCCGCACTTACCGTGGCTGGCGAGGACCGGGCGGTGTGGGCCAGGGAGTGCCTGGTGCCGTCCATCCCGTGGATGAGGTAGGCGCCGGCACTGGACACGATGGGATTCCCCGTGACGTCCATGGTGATGCCCACCATGCTGTGAGCGGGGACCGATGGTGGGGACGAGGCTGCCACTGTCACCTGGGCGCCAGCCGGGGCCTCGAAGTAAGAGGCTGCACTGCTGGGGGCGTACATCTGAGGCTCGGGGTTGTAGGCGTAGGCCGCTCGTCTGGCAGGAAGGGAGAAGCCGCTCTGGAACCCGGGCCCTCCAGACGCCCCGGCTGAGTTTCTGAGGGACCCACCACACGGCCTGGGCAAGCCACAGGTGCCCAAGGCCAAGAACGTGGGGCCACCCCTTCGTGGGACCAGAATCCAAGGGGAAGCTCCAAGTCAGCGCCTCTCAATGGACTCGGGATCCCAGGCTGCTTAGGGAAAAACGATCACTTAAAAATTCCAAGCGGGCCATCCCAGCACTCAGGAGGCTGAGGCAGGAGGATCGCCACAAGTGTGAGGCCAGCCTGAACCAAATACCAAGATCCTGTCTCAGAAAACCAATGAAGCAAACAACAAATAACAAAGTGGTGAACGGCTGCATGCAGGAGTTCCTTGTGGGAGACGGGCTAATTCTGTGCTCGAGGTTACACAAACCGCCGTGTGGGGTCAAGTGCACAGAATACACACATACACGTGTGCACACGCACACCGGCATGTGAGTGCCTGTAAGGACTGCTGAGACCGTCCAGTGTCCTCGTCCTGCTCTGATGTCCTGCGGTCACACTGGACACCACAGCTGCAAGCTGGGGGGCCGGAGGGCTCGGGGCACTAACTGAAGCTAGGATTTTTTCCAACCATAGACCAGGGGCAGGGCATGGCGGTGCACGCCTGTCATCCCAGCACTCGCGAGGCTGAGGCCGAGGATCACTATGAGTCTGAGGCCAGCCTGGGCTACACAGTAAGACCCTGTCTCCAAAAAAAAAAAAAAAATCAAAACAAACAAAAAACCCAACATAAAGTAGGGCTGGGGAGGTGGCTGGGTGGGGAGTGCTTAGCTCCACCCAGCCCTGCAACAAACAAGATGACAGCATGTCACACAAAGCACTCCCAGGAGACCACAGGCTGGGCCTGGCCCCCGACACCGGCACGCAGGGCTCGCCATGCTGTCTGAGCCCCTCCTGACCATGCAGACCCAGGCCGGGGCAGGGGGTGGCTTCCTTCTCCGTGAGGTCACGGTGTGTCCCCCGGGAGGCCCCGGCATGACAAGCCTGCAGAACTCTGGCCCTGGTCAGGCCAGGAAGGTGACCGTGGGACAACCCACAGGCCTCAGCTGGACTCTAGCCGTCTGACCATGCGCACTCACCTCGGTGTGTGTCTGGGGACAGTTACTGGGGGGCTCTGGGAAGTGACACCTTCCCATCCGCCACAATGCAGTCCCCACGCTGAGGAAGGGTCGGACAAAACCCAACGAAAAGGAAGAGTGAGCAGCAGCCCAACAGGCTGCCGGGGCTCGGCTCGGCTTCCGCCCCAGCATCCCCTGGTGGGCGGAAAACTCTAGAAGTCCTTGCCAAATGGAAAACCAAGCTCTGCCAACAGCCTGGGAAGCCCGAGTCTAACAAAGGTGAGGACCAAAGGGCGCTGGCGGCAATGGTGTCCGGGTCATGAGGCCTCAGCTTTAGAACCTGGACCTTGTTTATTCTGGACACAGCCTCAGGCCCAGCCCTGTTTATTTTTTGAGACAAGGTCTTACTAAGTCGCTCAGTTGCCCAGGCTGGATTTGAACTTGTGATCCTCCTGCCTCAGCCTCCAAGAGTGCTGGGATGACAGGCGAGTGCCACCATGCCCAGCTGTTCTGTAAAACGTTTTAGACACTGAGATGTTTCCAGAGGCTCCGAGGGGCAGGGTGGGGGGTGTCTGGAGGGCACGTACATGGCTCCATTCGCGTAGACGGCGTCACCCCCTTCCACGTACTGCACCTGCGCGGGGTACACGTGCTGCACCGGCGGGACCTGCAAGGACATCACGCAGATGCTGCTGCACGTGGCGTGTCACAGCTGGCCCTCGCCGTCACTGCCCTCGGTCACCATCTCAATCCCAAGGGTCTGCTCTTCCCTTCTGTGGACACCGAGGACCACGCTGCCCCGGGGCAGGAGGAGACGCCGGGACCCGGAAGGGACAGAGCCGCTGGGACCCAGAGGGCCAGGCCGCGCTCTCCAGAGCCCCGGCTGGTCTGTGCTGCCTGCCTGAGGGACCCGAGGCCAGCACCCCCAGCTGGCACTCGTGGGGGCAGATGAGGAGGGCCCCAGCTGCCAGCGCCTGCAGCAAAGCCAGCGCTGGGACACAGCCCGGCCCCCGTTCAGCCCTGCACCGGTGGATCTGAGGACCAGCCTTTCAGCACCTCCCATGGAGGGGCCCTGACAGTGACTTGGCCTCTAACTCTGGGGGAGCAGCTGCAGGGCCCCATGGGGGCAGCGCCCCCTGAGCTTTGGTGTGCAGTGCACCCCCAGGAGACCCCAGCACTGCCATGTACGCTTCCCCAGCATGTGGCCCCTGAAGCAGCTTGGGGTGCGGTCAGTCGGGGGGGGGTGTGGAAGTCTGGGGACCAGGTAGATGGAGGTCACTGAGGAAGCCTGAGTCACCCACAAAGAGCTGGGCCGGGGCCAGTGCCAGGCAGGGTTGGCGCAGCTTCCGAAATCACCGCCGGTAAAAGGCTTGTCTGGGTTTTGTTCCTGGGGATTAAACCCAGTCCTCTCCCTGAGGGATGCCTGCAGCCCTTCTCTGGTTTTTCATTTCAAGACAGGGCCTTGCTAAGCCCTCAGGCTGGGCCCACACTTGCGATGCTCCTGCCTCAGCCTCCCAGGCCCTCCCTGAGTGCTAGGATGGCAGGTGTGTCGTGTCTCCATACCTGGCTCCACACTGGCCCTTGTGTCCCCAGGGAGGGCCTTGACACAAGTCCTGTGGCAAGGTCCCTGGTCTGGGTCCCCAGGTCCCTGCTGGGCCTCCCCAAAGGGTCTGCTTGTTTCCTGGGGCCCTGCAGACCTTCCCAGCACCTGGAAACCATCAGATGACACACACCTGGAAACATGCCACTGGTTTACACAGGGACCTTCAAGATTGGAGTCTGCAGACTCTGCCCCAAAGGCCAAATCTGATCTTTCTCTTTTTTCTACAGACAAGGTCTCGCTATGTAGCACAAGCTGGCCTCTAACCCACAGCAGTCCTCCTGCCTCAGCCTCCTGAGTGCCGAGATTATAGGCTGTGCTACCTACTGGCCCCTCATGCGGTTTGTAAATAAAGTTTTATTGGTACACATCGTGGCTTACATATGTGTTATGGCTGCTTCTGTGCTACAAAGACAGAGTCCAGTGGCTTCATTTGAGACTCTCTGACCATGAAGCCAAATGATGCAGGTTGCAGGTCACCCCAAGCCTGGATGCTGCACAGCTGTCAGCCCAGCTTCGTTTTCTAAGATAAGCCAGCCAGGGAGCCATCTCCTATCTGTGGGGGGTGGCAACAACTGTCCATGGGTGCATCTGCCGCCCCCAGGAGCCTGTGTGTCCTCCTCCATGAGGACTGGGTCCCTGCTGCTCCCCAAATGAGGCTGAGTCTATGAATGAGTGAAAGAGCGCCACCTTTCTTGGCTCCTGGAGAATTCCCTGCACTGGGAGAGCTTTCCGGGTAAGTGGATGGTCAGCCAAAAAGAAAATAAAACCGGGCGAAGTGGCGCACAGCATTTACGCCAGCACTCATGGAGAGGCTGAGGCGCGAGGACTGCAAGCTTGAGCCCAGCTTGGGCAACTTTAGAGATGTCCTGCTTCAAAACTTAAAGGACAAATGAAAAAGGACTGGGGACATAGCTCAGTGAGAAGGCCAGGTTCAATCACCAGGACAGGAGGCGGGGCGGGGAGAGGAAGAGACCTCGTCCATCAGGCGGGCCGGCCTTACCTGCTGCGGCACCTGTGGGACTCTGGGCAGGGACAGCGGCTGCATGGGGGCCCCCTTGGGCACGGAGCCTGCTGCCTGGACCAGCACCCTCTGAAAGGGAAGGGGACAGACCATCAGACACATCGCAGTGGGCGCCCCTCGCCCCAGACCTCAGCCAGAGCTGCGCACACGCCGGACTAGGAGGGGCCAGGGCAGGCGTGTGCAGGCACCTGTGCCCGAGGCCTGCGGTCCGGCGAGGTGACACTGGCTGTGCTGACACGGAGGGCTTGCTGGCCGCTGCCCCAGGCAACACTTACAGCACTCAGGTGTTTTGTTTTGCTTTTGTCTTTTTTTTTTTTTTTTTTTTTTTTGAGCCAGCGTCTCTCTATGCAGTTCAGGCTGGCCTCAGGCTCACTTTGTGGCCCAGGCTGGTCTCAAACTTGCAGAGATCCTCCTGCCTCAGCCTCCCGAGTGCTGAGATGACAGGTGTGCATCACCACACCGACTAGAATTTTGCATTTTTGCAGCAGCGCAGTGCCGTGGGAGGCAGGGATTACAAGCTACATACATAGCTGCAGCCATTTATGAGGAACCCGATGCAAGGAAGCGGGCAAAGCCCGAGGCCTTGACCATGCCGACCCCACCAGCACTCGGGCCCAATGAAGCGGGGGCGGGGTGGGGACGGGCAGGAAGGGCTGGCCGGGGACAGAAGTGGTCACCTTGGTGCAGCGTGGGAGGCAGGAGGGCAGGGACGGGACCCCAGGCAGGGCCCGCAGAGGGGAGCAGCTCGGGTGCAGGACCCGCGCTTCCCGGCTGGGCCGCCCCAATTACAAGGAATGAGAGCTACCGAAGCCTCGCTCCCAGCTCGGGGGACGGGCCGCTCTGTGTCTGTTTCCTTCATCTGAACCATTTCCCCCATGTCCCTCCCACGTCGTGAGCCATGGGTGACCCAGGGCTGCCCCGAGCCTCGGCTTCTCACTCTGTCCCGAAGGCTCATGGCTCGGTCTGTGTGTGCTCAGTTCTTTCTTTTTGCCGTTGTTGTTTTAGTTTTTGTTCTTGTGGCAGGGCCTTGCGATATAGTTTAGGCCAGCCTCCTGCCTCGGCCTCACAGATGCTGGGATTACAAGTGTGCTCCCGAGGCTCAGTTTTGGGTTTTTGAGGGTTTTTGGTTTGAGATAGGATCTTGCTACATATAGCCCAGGCCAGCTTCCTGCCTCAGCCTCCCGAGTGCTGGGGTTCCAGGTGTGGGCCACAGAGCCTAGTCTGTGCAGATTTTTATGATTTATTTCAAACCGTGGGATCCCCGCAGCCACAAACATAGCCCGAATCTGAAAATGTGCTTCACCAACTGTAAAGACATAGTCACTTCTTCTTTTTATTTTTACCGTGTTTATGCAATTCTGTGTGGCCCTAAACGCACGACGTGGCCCAGGCTGGCCCGCATCCTCGCCGCCCCTCCTGCCTCACCGCTGCGAACAGTAAAAAGCTCACACGGCGACCCCCGGGATGCAGCTCCGCAGACGGCCAGCGGGGGCGCTGTCTGCAGCACACAGACACCCACCCCTCCGCGCGCAGGCGCACTGGGCGGCTACCTGCGGGGAGGCGGGCACCGGCTGGGAGGCAGCTGCTGCGGGTCGCAGAGCCACGGACGCTGGCGAGTCTGCTCCTCCCTCGGAATTCTGCATGCTCCTTCTAGAGAGAGGGAGACAGACCGGGTGAGGGCGCAGACGCACAAGCAGCCCCACTCCTTTACCCTCCCCGAACCACGGCGCCTCCACTTTCCAAGTCCGACCAGGCTGGTCCAGCCCGAGAGGCAGGGACAGCTGAGCCAGGGCCTCACTATGCAGTTCAGGCTGGCCCTGAACTCACTGGATAGCCCAGGCTGGCCTCCAGCTCGCAGCGATCCTCCCGCTTCAGCGTCCTGGGTGTAGATCACAGGCATCGGCGGCGGGGGGTGGCACCATCCCCAGCTGGGGGCTGCATGCTTTGTCTGGGGGACTGTAGGGCGCTCAGCAGGAACCCTGGTCGCTCGCTGCCCACTTGATGCCAGGAACTCCACCCCCAACACACACACACAGGTCAAACTCGAATGTCCCCAGACGCTGTCCGAGTCCTCGGGAGGCAGTGACACACCCGGGGCCTTGGCCCTGAACTATAACCCTTGCCTTTTTATTTTACTTTATTTTTTTATTTGGAGACGGGGTCTTGCTAAGTCATCGAGCGGTCCAGGCTGGGATGACAGGCGCGCGCCCACTGGGTGGCGCCAGAGCCACGAGCGCCCGGCAGCCAGAGCCGCCAGCGCCTCCCGCGGACCTCCCGGGCCCCAAGCGAGCTGGGCCCGGCTCCCCGCTTCTCCTCCGCAGCTCTGGCTGCTGCGAGGCGGCTGCCGGGGTCTCCGGCTCACATTTCTCTCAATGTGTTTTCAGCAGCATTTTCCACGCGGTCACCGCTTTGCCCCACGTGAGGCTAAGTGGGGCGATGCTGGCGGCGCTGCAGGTGAGAACTAGGTGACCCAGGGAGAAGCGGCCGGCAGAGCCAGGACCCTGTCCTCTAAGCACAAGTGCCCGTGCTCCACGGTGCAGGTGACTGTGCCGCACGTCCGTCCTTCCAGCCTCCCCTCCTGTCACCCTGAGTGCCACCCTTCACCCCATCTTTCTATTCTGAGGCAGGGTCTCGCTAAGTAGAGAAGTTGTCAAGGTTGTCTCGAACTTGGGACCCTCCTGCCTCAGCCTCCCATCTGAGGTGCTCCCCATGCCACACACAGTTGACCCCATGTCACACCCCAGGGCGCACAGCACAGGTGGCAGGAGGGCGGGGGACTCCCGGAGGAGGGACAAGCAGAGGGCGCGTCCTCAGGTCTGCTGCCTCTGCCACTCGGATTTCAGGTGGGTGAGCTGAACCTCAGGGGCGAGGGGGAGACACCGTGGGCCTCGGGAGAGACCTAAGGGGAGACTGCATGAGCGGTGCGGATGCCTGAAGGGGGCATAGGCCAATGTAGCCTACGCCCAGGAGACAGAAACCGGACCCACCCGCATCGAACTCAGCACAATCCGGGTGATTTTGGAGGTGGGACAGAAAGGGGGGGGACTATCAGGAGCAGGATCTCGAAGTGAAAGGCCATTGTGTACTTAATGAGCGCTTGGAATCCTCCCCCACAAACAGGAGCTACTGAAAAGGGCTGAAGGGCACTGGTGTGGCAGTGAGCACCGCCTTCCAGGCCTCAGGGAGGCTGAGGCAGGAGGGTCCCGAGTTCAAGGCCAGCTTGGGCTACACAGCTAGTTTGAGGTTAGCCTGTTATACAGCAAGACTAAATAAAATAAAATGACAAAACGGAATGTGGACACGGGGACAGTAAACCTCAGCGCATTTCAAAAGATCGAAGCCACCCAGAGGATGTACATGCTTTGTAAAAGATTAAGATGTCAATGAGATGGCCTGAGCTATCCCGGGATTTGGACATTTTAACATGCCATTAAAGTTATCCATAGGTCAAAGAGTGAACCAAGTGTGGTGGTGCAGACCTGCAAACCCAGCAATGTGAGAGGCGGACACACACATTGGAGCCGTGTGGGGCTGGGCGGTGTGAGCACCTGGGCACACCTGTCACGGGGGGGTGACAGAACAGGCCACGGAGCTCACACTACACAGGAAAAGTAATAAAAACAAAATTAGCAAGACATTAGAGAGAGTGTGAAACGTTTCTTCAAAGTAGAAGTGAGTGATTTAAACAGCCGTGCCTGGTGTGTCTTTGTGCCACGTCGAGGGACTGGAGAGACCGAGGCTCTAATTCTGTTCCTTTATCAAAGTTGCTCAGACTCTTCTGAGTCTTCTGTATTTACACAGAAACGTAGGAACCAGAATGTTAATTTTTATGAAAACCGATGCTGGCATTTGATAAAGGACTGTGTTTATTTTCTTCTATTTGGTTTTGGTTTTATTCTTTTATTTCTAATTGCTGAAGGGAAGACCCGAGGATATGTCATAACTTTCTTCTTTTCTAATGAATGTACTTGGTGTTAAAAATAATTTTTTTAAAGGGGCTGGGGATTAAGCTCAGTGGCATAAGCGCCTGCCTGGCAAGCCTGAGGTCGTGAGTTTGATCCCCAGTACCAACAACAACAACAACAACAAAAGCCTGGCGCGGTGCACGCGTCTATCATCTCAGCGCTCGGGAGGCTGAGGCAGGAGCATTGCCAGGAATGCGAGGCCAGCCTGGGCTACGGAGCAGGTTCAGGGGCAGCCTACACTCACACTGAGACTGTGACTCAGAAACAAAACGCAGTGAGCTATCAAGCCACGGAAAGCTCTGCAGCAAATTGAGGCATCTCTTACCCAGGGAATGAAGCCAGAGGCTGCGTACTGTACGACCCGGCTCTCCGACTCTCCGACCTCCGTAAAAAGCACACTCCAGAGCAGCAGACCGGAAGCTGGGGAAGGTTACAGGAGGGCGAGCCTAGGCCGAGCGCGGAGGACTCTTAGGGCAGTGACACCACCCTTGGTGACGCCATCATGGTGGGATCGTGGCACTGAACACCTGTGCAGACTCCAGAGCGCACACCAGCAGCGAGCGAGCCCTGAGCCCTGCGCCGGCGCGGAGGCGCACACCTGTCTGTCACGCAGCCTCAGGAGGCCGAGGCAGGAGGAGGGCGCGGCCCGCCCAGGTGAGCAACTCAGCAGCTCAGTGCGCTCCAGTGTCACCGGGAAGATAAAAAAGGGCGGAGGACAGGGCGTCTGGGTTCCAGCCTCAGAACTGCAAAGGAAGAGAGGGAGGGAGGCGGAGGAGAGAAAGAAGAGGTGAAAAGGAGCGAGAGGCCGGCAACCGCAGAGGGATGGTTACTTCACTGTCTAATGTTTTTAATTTTGGGGGGTGGGCACAGGACCTCGAGCTTGCCAGGCAGGCACTGTGCTGTGGGGCTACCCCGGCCCGATTTGCGGGGGGATGTTTTTCTTCTTGTTTTTTTGAGACAGGGTCTCACTAGGTAGTCCGGGCTGGTCTTAAACTTAGTATGTAGCCAGGCTGGCACTGGTTTCTCTGGGATCCTCCTGCCTCGGCCTCCCAGAGTGCTGAGATGACAGGAGCAGGCCTCGTGCATTTCTTTCTTTCTTTCTTCTTTTTCCCTTTTTGGGAGAGGGTCTCGATGTGCAGCTCAGGCTGGCCTTTCCCAGCCCAGGCTGGTCTTAAACTCTCAGCAATCCTCCTGCCTCAGTCTCCTGAGTACTGGGATGACAGGCGTGTGCCACCACATCCACCTAAGGATTTGACTTTTTTTTGGTAGCAGGAATCAAACTCAGGACCTTGCCCTGGCCCTTATTTTTAAAAGTTTTTAACTTTGAGAGTGTCTCGCTAACTGGCCCAGCATGAGCTTAAACTCCGGATCCTGCAGCCGCAGCCGCCCCGAATGCCAGGATGACGGGTGGGCACCGGCCACACTTGCTCCTGGTGTGTCGCTGACAGCAGGGAGGGCCGGGGAGCCACATTCCGGAGCCTCTGAGCGGCCACTCAGAAGCACAGGGGCTGCAGTTGCGACAGGCCCGGTGCAGGGCTGGCCAACCCTGCTCTGCTGTGACTCGGAAACACCCGCCTGCAGTCCAAGCTCAGAGCTCAGAGCTGGGAGGGGAGGACTGCACGTGTGACCTTGAACAGTGTCACAGTGACCAAGCGTGGTGTTCGACCTGTCACAGACACTGGCGTAGGGACGGGCCGAGGGCCGGGTCCCAGCCCGTAGCGGCAGCTGGCGCGGGGCCGCATGGAGGAATGTGCCCGGGCACAGAGGGAAGAGGCTTCTGTTTACAGGGAAATACTCCCGTCGCCTAGCAACTGGCGCTGTCAGGAGAGGCAAGGCCAGGCCGGGGCAGTTTCTGGCCGCTTCCTGGCTGCCGCTGACTCACGGCCACCTTGAGCAATCGCTCCTCTGGTCCTGCTCCTCCACAGGCCACGGGGCTGTCACCTGCCCGCGCAGGCTGGATCGATATTTAGACAGCTTGTCACTGTGGTAATTAGGGAGGCGGTTTCTGGGGCCTCTGTCCTGACTGGCCACTGGACCCCTGCTTTGGGGGTTCATCGTGAGGCTGTGTTGGTAGCACCAGTGGCCCCTGGTCCCCAGGATGTGGTTCACTTCCTGGCCCTGAACCCCGGACACTCCCGGGGTGCCAGCCACTGCGAGGCCAGATTCTGCCTGTTTGGCTCCCCAGGTGTGAAGGTGCCCACCACGTGCCTGGTCCCCCTCTGGGCGACCTTCAGCCTGCGGCCAGGCCTCAGCAGCAGGGACAGTGATGTGTCGAGTGCCCCGCTGCTGCATGGGCCTCGTCAGCCCGCGGAAAGAGGAGGACGGCAAGGGGGTGGTCTGGAGGCTGCGTCCTTTCCTCCAGCTTCCTGACACCAGGGCTGTGCGCTGGCACACCTGGGTCACTCCCAGGGCCTGGGGGTGGGGATGCAGGTGTCCCTGTCTCTGCCCAAGGACCCCGGCACATGCAGGGCACCACAAGCCGCTTCCCCCTCCAGGCCAGGCGCTCCCCACTGCGGCTCCACGGATGTCCCCAGGGATGGCCTTGTGTCCCTAGCCCCCGCCCCACTCCTCAGCCCTTGGCTACGTCTTTCTCCAGCACTGTACTTAAAAGGTCCCAGCTGGCTCCAGGCTCCTCTGAAATAAAAGTATCTGCGGAATTCAAATTCCTTTTGCTCTCCCTAAGAATTGGGCTTCTGTTCCTGTGTCATCTGCAGGGAAGCCAAAGTGTCCCCAGCGAAGCGGCAGCAGCTGCCCTTAGTAACAGCAGGCTGATCAGGTGGGTGGCAGTGGGGCGGCCATGCCTGAGGGCGCAGGGTCTCACTTTCAGCCCTCGGGTGGGTCCTGCTGACCCCAGGCTGCCCGACTCAGGGGACCACTGTCCTAAGACATCCAGCGACATCTCTATTAAAGAGGCAAGAGGCAGTGCATGGGGCACACAGGCTGTCCCGCCATACGGGGAGGCTGAGGCAGGAGGACCGCTGCTTGCTGCGTTAGGGACCAGCTGGGAGGCCAGCTGCACCGCAGGGCGAGATCCTTCTGAGAAGAGGGGGGCAGGCTGGAGCGTGAAGACACAGACTGTCCGAACCAAGGGACGCCACCTTGTCAGCAATGGGACGTTCCAGCCCCACAGAGCCTGCGCCAACACTTCCCCCCTGCGATGTCTCGGGGTGTGCA